TAAGCATACGGCCAAACTATATTACCGACTCATTCTAAATCTGACCTTTTTCAAGCTATACTAAAATCACAAAAGCGCCAACGGTGACTCAGATTGGAATGACCTGTTTTGGCTTGCACTATACGTGAATTTATCTCATCACTCACCCCACCACCAGTATTTACATAGCTATTCAGATACATGAACTTCTCAACTACTTCCACCTGCTCACCAGCAAGAGTGGGCGCAGGTACAGGCTACTGCTAGTCTTGCAAAAGTACTTTGTAATTAATAGCTGCAAAGCAGATTCTATACCTACGAACACTGAGTGTCAACTGATCAAGTGTGTATTGTATGGCTTGAGTATCGTCTCACAGTTAGACAATATCATTCGCATAATCATACTCAAAAAGTTGGCGTATCTATAATTTATAGATGAACTCATAAGATTGAAGATAACAAGTCTAGGATTTTAGCGCGAAATTTATTCACCTTAATGATTAAATAGCATTTAGACATTATAGCTAATGTCAGTTCATGATGAAAACTCTAACTGTAATTCCTAACCCTATTTTCTAACTTTAAATCCTCAGACATTTATAACTCTCTTTTAACCCTTGTAAGTAGGTGAATTTTGCCAAGGTCACTTTAGTATCGCTCAAAAGTCATCTATAAATTATAGTCTCACTGAAGTCTTTCTCCAGGCAACATACTTACACACCATCATTACTAAAATCTGTCAAAGTTGTTTCCATAAGTAACTTCCTCTACTCTTCTATTCATACTGATCTGATTTTGATATCAATGATTGGAATCGATCACGTGTATGTGTGCGTGTTTATCGTTAAGTCACGATTTTCTGTTGTCATTAAATTAATAAGTTAATAAATGGTTCAGCTATGCAACGGTGAATTATCTTCTGTACTTTGTCTGTATACATGCTAATACGCTTACATCTTATTCTATCCAAAATATATATCTCAAGAGCGTAAATCTATGTATGAATTGGGTGGTTTATAGTTTGATAAAATAATATTTAAATTGATATTATGAATGGATGAATGTTAGACCGCCATTGAAAACACTGGACGGCCGTTTCGTCCTTGTATGGGATTTCTTATGTGTTCATTAGTGACTGGCTTCAAGATGGATTTCCTGGAGTTCCAGTGAGAAACTGTGGCTAGTGAAGTTCAACCGTGTCTGTTGTAGAGGCAGTAACTCACTGAGGGCAATAGTGGATGGTCGCACAATATCGTGGATTGGTTGAAGTTAGACATTAACACTGTTGGATGCCGGCTCAGTGATCTAGAGGTTAAATATTCACGCGCGAGACCCTGGGTGCGCACCGCTGAGGAGTCCTACACCAGGACGAAACGTCTATCCAGCATTTCTAGGTTTTCAGTAGTGGTCTGACATTCATGATATCAATTTAAACTCAACGATCTCCACAACCCTAGACTGATAAAAATAATATTTATTTGTTTATTTAAACACATAAACATTTGTACAAGGATTCAACAAATATACATGCTCCATACTTCGTCATTCGATTTGTGTGATGGCTGAGATACTGCCCGGGTGCCCAAACCGAAGCAGGTGGTTTTTTTAGAGGGCCACTCCCCGAGCCTTTGACCTACATGTTTAACTCACAAGGCATCGGAGCAACATTAGAAGATTCAGTTCCATAGTAGCCAGTGACCAACCATCGGGTTCATATGCCATTTGTTCTGTCAGGATCCTGGAGCCCTTGTCCACCAACCCGGTTAAAGTGCCAGACATTCGCTTTTCATCCTCTCAATTTCGTAAACAACACCCCCGCCACGAGAAGGTAGTGAGTAGGACTTTCCTGTCAGTGGCTGTATACGCGTGGCCATGTGAAAGCATTTCGACGGGGAGAACGGATTCTTCTCATTCTTGACCATTTCAAGCTTACCACTTACAACCATATTTATAATGACATCAAAAAATTCACTACTTATCCTATTAATTGTGATATATTGTGAGTCTATTAGAAATCGGACAAATGAGAAATACACTATTGATAGCTTAGTTTTCTAACAGACAGACATGGATTTATGAATGAGTTCACATGCACTCCGGTTCAGTTAGTTAGTGAAAGCTCCTTTCTCATTTTTTAACCTCTTATATGAAAAGCTTGCGTATCATTAATACTCTTTACAGCACAACATAATCTCAATAACATCCGGCAATTCCCACAACCACAATAATAAAGTATTTAGAATAGATAAATTATGTCTAATAATGTAATCTAGGATACGTGTTTCGTCTTGCTGTGGTACTCGTCAACTGGATGTGTGTACTATGTCCTAGAATTGTTGATATTTACGTTAAGTTTCGAACCCAGTACTCCTTTTAATTTAAAAAAAGATTAATCACTAATTCCAATCCTTAATATCAACAATGAGATAACTCACACGTTTACCAATAATAGTAGACATAATAATAATAATGTAATCGATTTCCAATCAATTCATGTTGTCATTCCCAGTGTCTCCAAATAACTGATTTTGTCATATGTGTGTGTGTGTATGAAGGGGAGAGAGGACAATAAAAGAGGGAGAGAGTAAACCAATGTGCATACTATTTTTATCATAGTGTTGTCAGTTAATTAGGACAATTTTACTGTGTATCTATCTGCGAAATTGATCATTAATTACCTTGATTATTTTTTCACTTACAAACTATGTTATTAATACTGATGTCATGATTGTCACAGGAATGTGTATGTATGCAAATCAATACTTACTTCGTTATTATTATTATTATTATTAACAGCGAAAATAAGCTTTTGAACATCATGGTTCTCTCAGAGTATGTCTCTCTATATGTATGCTTATATGTACCTAGTGTGTATGTCATGTAAAATCCATTTGCATAACTGTTAGTAAATTGTTTGTCTATCTTAAACATTGTTGAGTAAGAAAAACATGAATTTTTTTTTGTAAAAAACAAAATAATAAAATAGTTGGAAAGAATCCATCTAAGTATTAGGTAGTTAATTCATATCTAGTCTAAAAATTCACAACAATATCCACTGTCTACTTGTTGTTGGGCAGACTCTGCATGAAAGTACTATTGAGCCTCATTGATAGTTGATAGGTTTGTCTGGATATTGAATTATTTTAAGAGATAAGTTTAATTTGTAAGTGATATTCGTGAAACCTCGTTATCTTTGATTCGATCCCAAGCGTAGTCGTAGGTTTGCATTTTTCAAGAGTCTCATTATACTATGACGATTAAAAAGTTGTACGATGGTCCTTAATCTTTATTGGTACACCAGCTATAATCGATCCACGATTAGTATCTCTCACAACTCAATGGAATAGTTTACGTATATCTAACTGTCTATATCAATAATAGTTGTTTCCATCACCAAAATCTGTACAATATCACGCTGATAAAACCCAAATTATCATCATTTGTATGGTCTAGAATGTGATAATTAGACAGACAGTATGAAAAATTATTTATCGTCTGCATTGTTCAACTAGTTTATTTGCCTAGATCAATATGGATTATCTATGGATATACCTGGAACTGAGCTTAGCAATTGAATATTCCTACAGTTACTTACCTTGTGTTTTAAGCAAGAAAATTAATTGATAAATATTTGAGTAATTATAAAATAGAGTGTACATTAATCGTTCATCTATTGTAATAACTTTTGATAACCCATCTGTAATGTGTAAAGGATAGTCTCCACGATATTTTTATTTCACAAGCATGATCATTGAAAATGTGAATTGAACACTACAATTCGAGAATACACATATTCTTATCAGTAAACAAGGTTTTAAAGAGTATAATATTTTAACATGAAACTGAACCAACGCATTGATAAGGAAAGATAAGAGAGGTTCGTTACACACAAACTTAATATCACTCGTTACAATTCATATAGTGTAGAAATTGTTGAATATATACATATCTAACTACTTGGTATTTATAAGTAGTATGGGTTAGACAATAAAGGTATAAGTAATATAAATGTAGCTTATGGGTGAAATTTCGATATTGGCAATTGTAAAATGCCTGATTACCCTCGAATAGTATTATTGTTACTCATTTTTCTGAAGTAATTGTAGAAAATTTTAGAGTTTAGCTTTGAATTATTGGAGATATAGAAGATATCCATTTTAATACTTCAACAGGCATGTATTTACATGCTTCCTGTCAGACCAATGTCTACATGTTTAAATTACTACTTGGAACAATATTGGATAGAAATTTACTCGATGAACTTACAGGCATCTTTACACTAATTTAACAACCTCTAAGGGAAGACTAGTTATTTTTCATACAAAGGGTTACACATACGTTGCGATCGTAGAATAAAACCGTAACTCATACTGTAAACAGAAGTCATATTCTTTAATGTCACATAAAATTAGATCTAGACATCAAGAGGTAAATTTTCCCAGGTCATGATAATGCGGAGAACATTTTGATTAATCCATTTGACTGTATTGGCGATGGGATAGTCGGATCTCTCCAGTTGAATACGATAAAATCTCCCTGATATCTCATCACTCACATTCTCTTTTGATCAATAAATACATGTTAACACGAATACTCCCTAGATAAAATATTCATGAGACAGTACAAGTGTCTGTAACATTCAGGAAATACCAGTAATTAAATATTCTATTCAAAACGCGTAAAATTTCAGGAAGTCACCCATAAGACTCGATACTGATAAAGTAAACATTACTACAAGTAAATAACGAGTTATAACATTGAAATAAAAGTACTAATAAACAGGGTAGTTAATTTATTGTGACAACGTAATACTACTACACGCTCCTCTACAATATCCAAGTCACAAAGTAGTTGGAGATATAATATAGACTACTAAATAATTATAAGTAGCACAATATAGCACAAAGTAGATGGGGGAAACATGTAAATATGTTCGGAAGATGAAAACAAAAATCAACAATATCACTTAATCTTAAGATTCATCTAATGTATTGTATATTGAATTTCTTGTATAATTTTAGGTTAGTGGTGGTCAAACTACACCAGCTGTACAACCTCCAGAAGTAGCCAAAGGTGTACAATCAATATTTGATGGTACTAAGTTAGATGTATACAGTGCTGGTGTAACACTTTATTTCATGCTTACTGGTCATGTACCATTTTCATGTCAAAATGTACTACAAATATTTGAAGCAATTGTTAAAGGAGATTATACAATACCAGGATATGTATCAACCAATGCATCAGATTTGATTCGGAAAATGATGCAGAAAGATCCTAAAGCAAGTTTGTTTGTTTGTTTGTTTATTTTCAAATCTCCATATCAGTGTTTATTTCTTGTTTGAATTATGGTTTGTTGTATACATTTATTTGCTATACACTTCTGTTGTCTAGTATTCCTTGACTAAGATACTTCATTCAACTCTTTTCATATCAGAACATCAATTTAGAACTAATAACATGTATTATATGTGAAAATTATATTTGAAATAATCTCAGCGATTGAAATTTAAATAATTCCAATGTTTCGTCCAAACATATAATGACTTCTCTATACTCGGCGCCCAATTTCTGTCAAACTATTTGTTCTCATCTTGACGAATATTTGTATAATAACACGTATGTTTCAATAATTGGAACAACAAAGATTCAGTAGCAAAAATATTAGAGTGTATACAGATATTTAAATAAGAATCTTCTAGTATCTTTCGTATACTACTGATTCCAGGCATTTTAATAACTAAATATTCCCAGTTTTCACTCCGTCAATGACAACACACAAGTTACCCCTCACTACGAAAGTATTGCCTAAAACAGAGTTCGACAGTGAATCCTGGTAGATGACCTATGCTTTTCCATGAAGGGCAATAAGCTTAAGTAAATACTCCTCACCGCACTTCGAATTTCGCGTAAAATAAATAAGGCGTTACTTTCTAACGGGTTAACTCAATGGTATCATTATACTATACTTTTGCTGAATTAGGATCTATGGTTAAGAGTTAGAGTTAAGATCAATAGTTAGGCTTATGATTACGAGTCCTAGGTTAGGAATAAAATGGAAAAATTCACTTTTAACCGTGTAGATGAATATTTATACAGTTGGTTCTTTATTTCTATATATCAAGAATTATTTAGTTATTTTCATAAATTCACAAATAGTGATCACTATTATCTTTAACCTTCCTGTATCTGTCGTAGTAACTAAACATTGATGAGTTTTATTCAGCTCTTACATTAGTCTTAATAATAGTAATCGTTCCTCCCAAAACCCATTATCTTAAATCTGATTGATTTGTCAATAAAGTATACCTTTACTAAGTATTTTTTTGTCATGTTTTAGATTTGTCAATCAGAATTTTGATTATCATTTCTTTACTCTCGCTTATTCTATTCCATCTACAGTCTCTAGTGCACTCACTATGTTATGACCAATAATATGATGTATTTGATAAAGTTGAATAGAGACGGAAAAAAATGAGCAACCCTAATGAACACCACTTCAGGTTGACAATTTTCCATAGGCTCTTTTTCGACCAGTCGTGTTCAGGTTACGAGCTTGTCTCCAATGTCGAAGGAATACAAAAACAAATTAAACTGTGGATCAAACGTTTTTAGATTTTTGAAAAGACCAAAAAAAATTTTCTCGAGTATTGAAATCCACTATCTTTATTTCAGAGCAAATTCAGGCCTAATCACTTATATGTTTAATGTCGTAGAGCAATCATAGTTTAATTTTACAAATTATTAATATAAGGTTATGTCAATTGTTGAATGTCATTGAATTCACGAACGGATCTAAGCTAGACGACCATTGAGAACCGGGAAGGCCGTTTCGTCCCGGCATAAGACTTCACATCAGTGTCCATCCCCGATCCCGCATGTGGGACCCTAACCCAGGACCTTCTGTCTTGCGCGCAAACTTAAACGTCAGACACCGGGTCATTGGTATGAAAGTCGCCACATTGACTGTATTAGTAAAGCAATAGAAGGTGTGCAAAAGGTACCATGTTAATGGAAAGCTGGACATAAGATGCAAAATGTCAATTTGTAAACGACATCCAACAGCTCCAACCGTCGATTAAGAGCATACTACCCGTGTTACGATCAGGAATTTACCATCTACCACCAACACGACTAAGACCAGTATGAGTTGGTGACTCTTTGGTACCCCCACTCCTAACTTTTTTGCAGCCTACATTAAGTACATACACGATTGTTTGACTTAGCTCATTACTAGAAGTTAAGAGGTTAGGCGTTCGCGCACGAGATAGATGCTCCTGAGTTCGAGTCACGCGTGCGGGGTCATGAATGCACACTGCTGAGGAGTCCCGCGCTAAGACGAAACGGCCCTCCAATTCGTCCAGGTTTTCAATCATGGCCTAGCTTAGATCGACTTGATTTCAACTATTAGAATTAATTATTGTTCATATAACCGATTAATAAAATATGAAAGTTCTTGTACGCTCCTGTAAGCCATCATATTACCATACTGTTCCCCAACTATCTAACTTTAATAGTATGAGTTAAATTATAAAATAATGGTTTCATTATTAAACCACTCGATTTGTAATCAGTAGATGATTTGTGTTTAAGTTTTGTAGTCATTTTCTGGTTGGTTACACTCCATAGGAGCACTTTTTTCGAAGTACTTGATAATGAATTTGAATTAGTAGTAATGATTTTGGATACCTGAAAACGTAACCACAATACTCAAAAGACAACAGCTTGAGAATGATCACACACGAAATTTTCGTAAAAAAAATGGTTTTAAATGAGTCAGTCTTATACCTAGAAAGGCCTTACTATCGGCGATAGATAATTTGCAAGCCAAGGTGAAGTGTTTCGTTTTTGAGGTTTGACCATTTCTAACTCCGTCATTCGTTTGTGAGAAGACGGTGTTGTTCTAGATGCTGATTGTCTGAACCAAACATCATACTGCCATCATACCTCAATACAGCCAGTTGCACGACCTCACTATCAGACTTTAATTTACCAATCCTAACTTTATCACTCTCCAACCAACCTGTCTGATTTAGTATAACCTAGAAGGACAAATGTTTCAGTCAATATGAAACTTGATTGAGCAATCATGACAGCCAGAAAACTCTACCAACACGTTAGAATAGCTTGCTGTGATCAAGCAAGTTCAAACCCCATACACAACTATTTTGGTGGTTAGAGAATTCGTTGAATATCACCAATCTTTAAGTACAGATTAAGTGTTTGTGGCTCAAAATAAAGTAAATAGACCTTATATTTGAGAAATCAGTGATATCAATACTGATAAATGAGATCAGAGAAATGTATGGTAATTGGTTGATTAATTGAAAACTGAACATTTCCTTACAAATCAACAATATTATGAATTTGCCCCCAAATGCCATGGTATGGCCGAGAGTGGGGGGGGGCCTCCCTCCCTCTCGAAATGCTCTCACACGGCCACACGTATATAGCCTCTGCCAGGGAAGTCCTACTCACTGCCTTTTCGTGGCGGGGGTGTTGTTTATGAAATTGAGAGGACGAAAAGCGAATGTCTGGTGCTTTAACCAGGGAGTTGGAAAACTCTCATTCCAAACCAATGGTGCACATGGGCTCCAGTATCCTGCGGGAAAAAATGGTGTATGACCCTATTGTTGATCACCGGCTACCATGGGAATGCATCTCCTCACGATGCTCCACTGCCTTGTGGATCAGACCTTTAGGTCAAAGGCTCGGGGGTGTGGCCCCCTAAGAAAACCACCTGCTTCGGTCTGGGCAACCGTGCAGTATGACAGCCCACACAAACATGGTGTGGCGCATATATATTTGGTACCCCTTTGTACCAATATTTATGTGTTTAGATAAATAAATAAATAAATTTTTAACAATTTATTTGTTTTTCTGTTAATAGAAACGTTTAACTTTATTGCAAATTCGTCAACAAACTTGGTATATACAAGATCCACCAACACCAATGTCTGTGGAAAAAATTAAAATGAAATTACGCAATGAATTATCACATAATCAACAATTGTCAAATAATGAATCGCCAACACATACATTAATTCATTATCATAAACGACAACATCAACAACAACGTGGTATAATCTGTTGGCTTGATCCATTAATTTATCTACGTCGATGTCATTCTGAATATCCTCTACCACATATTGATGATACTGGAGCTAGAATATTTGATATAGATGAAATTTTCAATAATTCACCAAATCAAACATTTACTAGTAGTAATGATAATGATATACAAACATCTTTATCAAATATGATTATCAGTGATAAGGATGAACACTTTTTTAATAATCATGATGGTATTGGACCGATCTCAGTGATTGATCGTTTAAAGGTAGGTGTTGAATAAAAAGTAGAGGAATTTCTTTCATTTCTAATAATAATAATATTCAATTTACCTAGTATCCATTCCTAACCCTACCAAGTAAATAATATCAGGGTGTGGGTTAGGATACTATGCAAAGATGCCGAATCGATGGATGACGTAGTAAATCTCTATCAACTGAGTTGATTGGGACATGTGCAACATAATGCCCAACCACCGCAATATTGCTTCTTGTAGGAGTAGGTTGGGAAAGGATTATGGCCAGCCAAACTAAGACCTAGCAACATATAAAGACACTGACTGTTAGACTGATTTAAGTAGTTATGTATAGACTACTTAATTGGGATCTACGTGACTATCGTAAATAATGACTGGGGACTTTACGCGACATTACTCAATGTCGTTCTCAATGGCTCAGGTGTATTCACCCTTTGTTCTTTCTTAAACTCTAACTTTTTCGTTTCGCTAATATTGTTACTACCTTTACTACCCTGGGATATCCTCTGATAATTTCGTCTCGCTGTGCTAATGTACTATGAGAAATTGAACTGATGCACAAATATGCCACAACCTTCTACGTTTCATTTGACTAACTGATCCAATCAGTCACATGAATAAGAATATGTTACTTACTTCCAATTTAGCACTTATCAACAATGATCATTTTTAGTCACTAACTAAGTTCATTGTCTGTAAGAAATATTTTGTGGTTTTAGTTAAAAGACGATAATCTCCTTACTATTCAGATTGTGAATGCTTGAATAAACTGAGAGAGTTGGTATACACATGTTACTAATGGTGTAGAATTAAGCCGAATAACTATAGGTATCTCACTAACCATGATATATTAATCAGTTATTATCTGGTGTTCCATTGGTTCGTCTGTCTTAATTGTAGTCTCTATGTATGTATATTTCTATTTCCGTTCAGTTTCTTAAATGGGTAACAATTGTTTTACTCTCAACTGGGTCAAATTGAACTTGATCCAATGTACTATTATGGTTATTTATTACTGGTGAGCCTTTATTAAGAATAAAACGTCTGTTCAGTGATTTTCAGAATAGTTGAATACCGATGGTCAAAGTTACTCACTAGAACTTCAGAAATTACCTGTCGACATTACTTACCAGTTAACAAGTGATTACTATTAGTATTTAGGGATTTATTGAAATTGTTGGATTTCGTAGTTTCCATTACGACCTGATCTTGATTAAGTAAGGATGAAAATCAGAGAGCATTGCGGAGTTGTTTACTCTCTAGTATGGGACTCTCCTCCTGGAAGCACATGTTTACGACTCTACCTGGAATCGAATTGAGGAGCTTCAGGTCTTGTGACAAGCCCTTAACGAAATAGCTTCCTGGTTTTCAATGACTGTCTAACGAAAGTCAATCCGTGATGTAAACTGTATAGTTCTATCACTGTTTATATCATTATTATTTTCCCTCTTACTCATCTCATGCCGCTGTATTGATAACGGTATCTCTACTTTAATCGATACACCTTTTTGACATTCAATGCTATTTCTCTCCTTCTTCTTAGTTTGAATTTTTACTTAACTAGAGATGATCAGCTATATTGTTTCTGAGTTTCTGAAACTTGGATACAAAATCCAAGTGTAGTCATTAACCTGACATTACCCAGTCAATATAGAGGACTGGCGCAATCTACTTTTCATGTATCTGGACCCTTGGTTGCCAATTCGCGTGGCCTAGTTGGTGTGGGCATCGCATCAAGTTCAAAGGTATCACAGGTTATCCTGATCCTGGATTCCGGTAGATAGATGGTCGCCTTTGCGGTATATGAACATAAATAGTATACAAATATTGGATAACGTTCACATTGTATATTATCGACAAAGATCGCTTTATAATCTGTCTTTAGATCCGTTGACAACCATATTAAAGAAATCAAACTTAAATCACTTTTGTATATGTTTAATAACGAATGACCGAGCATCCATTTGGTCCCAAACGTTTTCTGTTTGACACTATTACTCAAGTACCCGTATAAAGGAATCATAGGCTTGCTCGAAACATTGTCTGATGTGCTTATATTAGACAGGATTGAACACTTTCCACTCAGAATAGTCATAGTAACACAGTACCATCATTTATACATTTTGTTCATCTTACTATACTGCTTTTTTCCCTACCATATTTTGTATTTAGGTATTTCATGATTTGGATGACTATGAAGAGTATAGTAGACCAGAAGATATGTCTAGTTTTTACTATTCACCTGAAGCATGTTTACAATATTCCAATGTTGAAAAACAGCTGGCCAACTTAGGTAATTACACAGTATTCAGATCAAAATTCTTGTTTCTTTTTATACATGCGTTTAAACGACTACTTACTACTTTGTAAGTAGTATGTTTTTAAAACGTAAAATCGCAAGCTTTTATTTTGCCTTTTTTAAATCGGTCATTATCATCGACTGTGTAAAATGGTATAATCTATTCTTTGCACGCCGAGTTTCCTGCGATGACCTACTGGAATGTCAAGGTCACCTATTCTTTCTATTATGTCTGTTTATGATGGAGAATATTCGTTGTTCAGGGTAAATATTTCGGTGGTGTGTTGTGTTCTCTAGGCTGGATGGTCTAGTCTTAAAGTTTTCATTGTCTTTCTAGACAATATCAACATTATCAGCGCATATTTCAAAGAGTGACAAGATACTAGGATTCTTTCACAACTGTGACTAGCAGCCTGTTTTGTCTATAATTATGTAGTCGTTATTTTTTTCTGTTTGTTTTAACTGTTTCCATCCGTAAACCTATATCCGAGCTTTCAATTATTTACCGTTTTTCTTTTTAGATGATAAGCTTGGTCAATTCCTTTATGTCAGTTGATCGATGCTTGATTAGAATGTCAGGATTATAAAAATTGTATGACCTTCTTTGTGTTTCCTCTGTTTAATAATATTTCAACATTTTCTCAGTTGAGCTCATCTCCATAGTTGTCTACATATATTTATATATAAGTGAAGATATATCATTTTGTTTAACAATATATTGCCTCTCTCTCAGTTGATACATTTTATTGTGTAAATGTTTGTTATTGTGTCCCTTTACCTGAATACTGTTGATTTTAAAGATTTTTTAAGTGTTATGATATACGGTTTCTGAGATCTGATACTGATACATAATATGCTACGCATTGACTCCCTCCCCTAGGCTGTCTACTTGAGCGAGAAGATAAGAGTGGGAGAGAAAGTCTATTGGTTTACCAAATAATATGCATAGATACTCATTTATACAAATATACGTTTCTACCTCTTAGAAAATCGTTCCATTTTTGACCAATGATATAAAGTTATCTTTCAGGTCATTTTACGATTGTCATCAAGTGACCTTCTTGAGATGGTGGAGAAGATTTGTAGCTCAGGTGGATGATTTTGGTGGAGTTCTATCTATCTGAAGTTTGTGCTGGTGATGTCGTTCAGAAGAAAGATGAAAGCTCCATGACCAAACCATCCAGCTCAGAGAACAAAACTCCACTAAAAGTGACCTTCTCGTTTGGCTACTTCTTATGGCTCATTAAATTATTAGTAGGCTACACTTGTTTCTGTCGGATTTAATAATCTGTTTACAATCTTGGAGATTTTCTTCATGTGTAGAGGTGATCTTAACACGTGGCACACCATCTATCAGATAATGGACACTGCACGTTACAACACTTAGGTCTAAGTATGATTGCTTAACCTCTGGACCACTAATCCAGGATCCAATGGTGAACAAGTCTAAAGTCAATCGATTCGCAATATTGTCCAAACGTCTTCCTTGTGAGCAAAACCAAAGGTCATGCGTTTGATCCCAAGTGGTAGTGTCGTGGATGAGCATTGTTGAGGTTAAACTACTGTCCAATGAAAAATCATGAGATAGGTTGACGAATATTCACTCTAATGTGATTTCTTCTACTCACGGGCATTAATAATCGCCTTATTCAATGCCAAATTTTTTATTATAGTAAAGGATTCTAAGCACAAACTATGTAATGTTAGAATAAATTTTCTGTTCAATATCCTATTTAACTTATTATTAGTGACCTTTAGGTCACTTCTGATTACCATCAACCTTTTGCTCCTTCTGGTCGGCTCTCCATATCACTAAGGTCTTGTCTTTGATACCCAGCGATGGAGTCATGGATGTGCACTGCTGCTGAGGCGGAGTTCAATACTAAGACAAAACATCTATCTAGTAGTTCCATTTTTTTAAAGATAATTTAATATTCGAGACCATTCTTGTGAACTTTTTTCAACTGTACACGAGTAAACATGGATAAACAAATCTAACCCCTGATGATACATCGATGCGGGAAATTTAGTTCGAAATTCAATTGTCGCTTAATTTAGTTTTTCATACTTTAACACTCAACTACTTATTATTTTACTCATTGATCTCATGAAGTGTGTTTTGTTGTGACAGATATGAAATCTAGAAACCTTTGAAATATGCGCTCAGAAGTGGATATTTTCTTATTCTAAATTATTAGCATTACTCTAATAAACAAACTTTACTGTTACATGGAAGCAAACTGACATAATTCTAACTGTAATCTATATCGATTAAATCCAAATATTTTTTTAACAGTAGAATCTATGACATGCATTTGATCGTCATCTCTGGGTATATCTCTGGATCTCCCCATATGGTTAATATTCACATTATAAGACTTAAATCCAAGATCTTTTACTTCAAACATTTAACATGTTATCCACCACCTAGCTAATAAGTCCAGGTAGTCACTGACTTGTTCAATGTGTATATGAATTCTGTTTGTTAAACTTTGTATTTTCTGATTGTTTAAATTGATCAACTAATAAGTCTTAACATGAATGCCGCGAAAGTGCAAAACTTTAAAAACAGAAGGAATTGGTGTCGTTTTTATCTTCCCTTTTTTAACCAACCGAATTTGAACGAAGAAAATACTAATACCATTGATTTTGAATGCTCAAATAATTAATGAATTATCAGTATGAGGTAGTGGAGACTGTTAAATTCTTGATTGAGATCATGAATCAATCGATGTTAGATCACTATTAAAAACCTGGAAGCACTAGACGGTCGTTTCGTCCGACTGAAGGTCCTGGGTTTCAATCCTGCGTACGGGATCGTGGATACGCACTTCTGAGGAGTCCCATGCTAGGATAAAACGGCCACCCAGTGTTTCCAGGTTTTCAGTGGTGGTCTGATGTCGCTCGATTCATGATCTCATTCAAGAGACATTAATGAATTGTCAAAGTTTACACTTTGTCTTTATCTGCTCTCCAATAGGTATTGGTTCACGAATGGAACCTGATTCGACAATCACAAATTATCCATATGTCTACTAGCCCTATTCATTTAACAGAAGAAACTAGTCGTCGATCTGGAAATATTTGTCATCCGATTGACAACGTTCCAGATAATGTTGATAATAATAATAATAATAATAATAATAATAATAATAATAATAATAATAATAATAATAATGGTCAGTCACACTATTACTTTTTACCATCAGATCAACAACAATTAAGTACTCATCAATCTAAAGGAGAAAAATCTTTAAAAAGTAATATGACACCACAACCATATTGGTGTCTAGATCTTGGTGTTCCAGTGTATGAAGCTATACAACCTATCAATAATATGAATGATGTATTGGAACCTCCAGCTTCTCCAGCGGATTTACCAATTTCTATTCCTACTACTTACAGACTATCTAAATTTGCAATAAATCCCAATGTAACAAATCGAACTGGTAGTCTACCAGGTCCTATAGCATTCATTCCATCCGATTTAAATATACCTCGACAAATGCAGAACAGTGTCAATATAAATAATGATAATAATCATAATAATAACAATAGTAATGATACATTAAATCAAAAAACTTGGCATTATGGTTTACGACCTATTAATAGTATACCAAAAGATTTTCTTAATTTCACTTGTTCAAAACAACAACAACAACAATCACATCAAAAATCTACCAATATCATTGCTATTGATCCTGATCAATTATCTAATCATTTGAATATAGATTTTGATCAAACTCATATAAATTCAACATTGAATAGACAAGAACAACAATTTATGAAAAGAGATTATCATTCAACTAATACTAATCATTTGAATAGATTCAATCAATGGTTTTTCAATCCATTCAATTCATTTCGTAATCGAATAAAAAGTATACGATTTAAAAAAGATGCTTCAAATAATTGTCAAACTACTAATACTACTTATACTACTACTACTACTAATAATAATAATAATAGTTATTCACCAGTTGTTTCAATGACCAATTCTACTTCTTCATCTTCTAATACTATTTATTATAGAAATGTGAATAGTGCTACAGAATTAACTTCAACTATTGAAATCACATCATCATCATTACCTAAAATTCAAATAGATGATATTTCTATTCAATCTACTGGAACTTTACCAAGAACACGTAATCGATTAAAACCTTGTTCACGTATATTTTCACGAAAGAAAGTTACAGGAAGAAAATAATAATTATTATTATTATTCCCGTTGACATTGTTGTTGTTATCATCGTCTGTCTATGTATGCATTCATGCATGGAATGTATGTATGTATTTTTTTTTTACATGTATATCAATTTCTTCATATACAGAGTTGGGTAGAAGCGATACAAGATCTCGTTTTTCACACATACACACACACACACAGTATATATATCCTATTTGTTATTAGTGTTGTTGATGTCGTCGGTTTATCGATTTCCTGTTCACATAAGTTTTCTTTGATTCTTCTCCCCTATCGCCAATACCAATCATGATGATGATGACTTGATTACACGTTTTTTTTATTTTATAGTACATATAGCAACTCTATTTATTTGATCATTTTTTTGTAAAATCTATTTTGTACAATTTATTCACCAACTGGCTCTCTATTATTCTGTTTTATTATACGGAATAAAAAAAGATGACAATGTTTAATGTCCCAATAGCTAGCTTTATGTCTGTTTGTTTGGTGAGTTTTTTTATTCACTGCGTTTGCTCACTATTGTGTCCAATAATTTTTGTGTGCTAGAGGTTGTCTCTCTTTATCACCATCTCGTTTATTTCATTTTCATGCTCTTCTTCATTGTATTCCTCTTTTCCTCACTCACTCACTCTCTCTCTCTCTCTTAGGTTCTTTTTGCAAAATTTCAGTTACCGTTGTCGGTATAGAATTATGTTTCTGTTTTTCCCCTTTACATCTTCACACAAAACTTGTCTCATTTGTAAATAGTATGTAAATTTTAATTGCACACACACACACACACACATAAAGATGATAGTCGTGTATTTATGCCGAGCATTTTTTTCTCAAATCAAAACTTCTCAAATTATCTCTAATGCTTTTACAATTTCTCTCGATTTCTGCTTCCGTTTTATCCTTAATCATCAATTGTCTTATAGAACTGAAAACATAAGTTTCTCGGCTTAGTTTAATTCCTTTTCTCAGTTCAGCATGCAACTTTGTTAGCAATTACGATCATTATTCTTTCGTAATGTTCCATAGTGTGTGTGTATGTGTGTGTGTTTACACGCGTAACTTTATGGTCATGTGTATACCCTGCACACCTAGATTGTTCCTGTGTTTGCACACAAATAAACTCACATTCACACGCACATCACGTATCCAAAATGCCTATATGTATTTTTTTTAATTGTTTAATGTCTTGTGTTACTTACGAGTAGTATGATTTGAGTGAAAACAATTCCTGAGTACTTTGTTTTCAGTTTGAAAATTCATGCTTATATGAGTAATGCATTACTAGGCTTATTATATATATATATATAGTCAGTGTAATTGCAACATTCTTCTGCAATTATTCGTTTTTTGCGTTGTTAAGTTTTTAAACTTGGCGATTGAATGGTATATCATTCTGAACAACACCATCAAACGCCTAGTTGATATGGAAATGAGTTGTTTAGTTATTCCACATACATTAACGTAATTTCTCCTAATCACATTCTTTATAAGTGGTTGTGCTTTTAGGTACCGCTATCCTCATTTTTCCGTGTATTCCTATTGATTATCGTGTTCAGCTGACCTCTAACCATGTGACTGATTGCCCTCTTTCGTCAAAGTTGTTAAAATGAATCGGTCTACCTATTCATTACCGATAAATGAGAATCCTACGCTTTTACAAATTCCTTAGCATTTTCAACGTTCTCTCGATCTAGAGTTTTGACATATTTCTGTTTAATTGTAAACAACATAGGAGTAGTTTATAACTTCTTAATCTTTTCTTTTCATTATGAGATCAATTGAATTTATTCATGCATGATCAAGTCTTCAGAATCCTATTTATTTATTTATTTGAACATTGGTACAAGGGGGCACCAAATACATATATGCCATACAATAACAATGAAGCCAGTAGTAGTTATCATTGGTTTGTGTGAGCGCTATGATTCTGCCCGGGTACCCAGACCGAAACAGGTGATTTTCATAAGCGGCCATTCCCTGAGCCTTCGACTTACACAAGTCAGTGGAACAACGATAGGAAATGCAGTCTCATGGTAGCCGGTGACCAACAGTAGGTTCATATGCCACTTGTCTCCCCAGGATACCGTAGCCCATGTGCACCATTGGTTTGGAATGAGAGCTTTCCAACTCCCCTAGTTGGACCCTCCGTGTCCGCCAACCTGGTTAAAGCGTCGGAAATTTGCTTTTCGTCCTCTCAATTTCAGAATCCTAAACTGAATAGATTTCAGAAAACATATTCATTAGTCAAAGGAAATCAGTTCGCGTAAATCATGTATTTGGTGAAGTAAAGTTCTTAATTCATATATACAAGAATAGTGTAACTATGAATTACTTGTCACTATGACAATAAACACTTCTTGCAACAAAAATCTGGTAAAAAATATGCATCTCGAATCAAGTTTTCACATATAGTCGGTGTCACAATATTTATATCAGTAAATGTATTCATTCTTCACAATAAATAGTTATATTCAATTGATCTTTCTTTATCAGTTCATATTTGACAACCATACTTAAAAGTATACTTTGCCGTTAACAGTATCCAGTTACCGATGAAGTGACCTTGGTAAAATGAAAACCTATTTTTAGCCTATCGGAATGTAGGAGATATGGATGAATCATTTACTGTCAGAAAGGGGATTTGTGGAGATTGTAGCAATTTTTCTTAATAGTTAAATTCACGAATCGATCTAAGCTAGACTACCATTGAAAACCTGAAAGCACTGGATGGGTGCAGGTCCTGGGTTCGAGTCCCGAGTGAGGAATCATGGATGCTCATTGGTCAGGAGTCCCATACTAGGACGAGACGGCCATGTTGATCTATCTTAGATCGGTTGGTGAATTCAATTATTGAGTAATTTACTGAATAAAATTCCCAAATAAAGATCAAGAATAGGATGCTTGATTTTCGATTTGTGGTTAAGAGTTTGATCCACAATTAGTATTTTAGGTCAGTGTATGAAATTTAGATACGAAACATGACTTACAGTTGAGAATATGATTTAAAGTAAGAAATGATCGTTAGAAATAGAATGAACACTGTCTTATAAGCCATATAAATGAATATTTATACAATTGGTTTCTTCTATTTTAAAGATTAGGAAACTTAAATCTACCATTTAAAAAAATTCCATATTATCATTTACTAACCCTCATATACTTAAAGGAATGTGGCTCGAAGTTAAATGAACGAAGCTGTTGCTTGGTGAATTCGCTAAAGCCCCGATATGACCGAGGGAGGGAGGAGTTAGTTCTCCCTCTCGAAAAACTCAGAAATGGCCTCGCGTATACAGCCACTATCAGAGAAGTCCTACTCACTGCCTTCTCGTGGTGGGGTTGTTGTTTATGAAGTCGGGAGGGTGAAAAGCGAATATCTGACGCTTTAGTCGGGTTGGTGGATATGAAGGACTCACCTAGAGGGAGTTGCGAAACTCTGATTCCAAACCAATGGTGAACATGGGCTCCAGGATTCTGAGGGGACAAATGGCTTATGAACCTACATAATCATTGTTGATGATAATCACGTAGACCTTAACCAAGTAGTCTATACCCATCTAGATAGCTTAGTTCAACTGTCACCATCTTTGTGCGTGATATCATTTCTTGATTTGGTTACTTCTTACCTAATCATGGATTTCTGTTCATATGGTTCTCGAAATCTTCCTTCTTATGTTCTGTTTCTGTGAATTTTCAACAAACTTTAGTAAAATTGAATAATGACTGTCAGTTGGATGCAGAACGCACGTTTCATCTTACTTGTGATTTTTGAATTGAATGTACGTACATCCCAATGTTATTGTTTCCACTAAAACTCAAACCTAGTATCTGTTGTGTATCAACAAATTCGGCTGCTCTTATGGAAAACGCTGTAGCGGACATATAACTAAACAAGTTAGTGAATACCTTTCTTCGTGATCGGTGAAAAGCATAACAAAAATAATATTCAGCTCTGTTCTATCACATTTGGTCAATAGTGATTATGTAACAGATAGAACTAAACCATTCGAAGTAATGTATGTTTCTATTTATTTTGTTCTTGTATATATCAGAATCTATTGGGATCCTAGCTAACTACCCAAGCTCTTTATTCATAAGGAATTTATAACACTTTTATCCCTTCATTGGTCGAGTTAGGCTTAACAAACTGGTTCATTTATTATTATTATTTTCTGTACCCTTTGTTTTCCCTCACTTTTTTAAAATTATTTGAACGCTACTTAAGACATAGTTATAGTGATTTTATTAGATATCATTTTGATAAGTCTTGCGAATTGAACGCTATATTCGTTTCCTAAGCTATTCTGGAAACCCTCAAGCTAGAACTATACAGCGACCTGAACACACGAGAGAAGACGCTCAATATGCGAGAAAATACTTTACTCCAAGGTTCATTTTTGTACAGAAAACACGGGTATTTATAGATGTTAACATTTGTTAAATCAACATCATATTTTAGCCAATCCGCTAAAAGACATTATGCTACTGGCCAATAGTAGCACGCCACGTTAATATTCTAGAAAGCTCCATCATGCTCTGACTGGCTAGGACTCTTCGGCTCCTCTAGGGTCTCTGGAGACTATGTTGCAGTTCTCGGAAAGCCGACTCAATGCATTTCAATGTCTATTTTTCGACCTACTTTCTATTATGAAACATTGATTTAAATCTTTATTATTCTTATCATAACTATTATACCTATTATCTCACTATTAAAACTTATACTTTTTGCCTATTATACAGTCTACTGTATTGTGATCATTGACTTGTAAACTACATTGGTTATTTTAATATTTTCATATACCTGTATAAAGTTTACCAACCACTAAGTCGGTATCCAACGGTGTTAATGTCTAACTTCAGTCGATCCATGATCGTAAACCCTTTATTCATTGTCTGAGGTAGATAACTGTCTCCACCCGACACAAATTGGACTCCAATGGCCACAGCCTCTCACTAAATATGTGGAAATTTTAAGTTGATTGGATGCGTTCAAAAAAAAACATAAGTCCTAATTTTGTATGCTGCGACACGGGTAAAAACATTATAATGTCTAATCGAGATTTGAATGAAATACCCTTTGTTTTTATGTCACATATTCGACGAATGTAATCTATTAAATAGTCTATATCCTTTCCTCGATAATTGATCTCTAATCAGTAGTTATTAAGGGATCAATTAATGTACAAATACCTTTGTCCTACAGAAAATTAATCGTTAAACGAACAACTTGGTTGTAACTTCTATGACTGCATCACAAATGAGTAGACGTGGAGGAAATAGCTGGGTTCAGTCCGATACCCGTCAGTACATCAGATCTGTCAAGACTGCAGATTCGCATGTGTGAAAAAAAAACCTACTAACATAAATCTAAACAGATAAGTTCTTACCCATTGCGTCCGACCATCTAATGTCAAACTTGACTCAGACACATATAGTCGTTCCTCAGTTACCTCATTAACATCGTCACAAGTTCAGCATAACTGGTAGAAGGTATACCATTTACTTTCAGGTGAATCCTAATAAACTATGAACCGTAACTTACTAGTCATAGCTACTAAATATTACGAAAACATTCACTCGCTAAGTTCAGTTTGCCAAAATCGAATATTTTGTTCAATCATTAGTCAATATTTTCATACTCAAAACTTAAATTTTTAGCTCAATAAATTTGTAGGAGTTATTCAATGTATAGTTTACATCACGGAATGGCTTCATGTAGTCAGTTATTAAAAACCATGGGACCATCTTGTCCTGATGTGAAATTCCTCAGCAGCAGACATGAATGACTTCACCATCGACTAGTAATCGAAACTTCCGGGTTCTATGGGAGAGTATGACCTTTAAACCATAAACATAAGAAAATAGTGGCTGGCAGTGGGATCGCGGATGGGAGTTTCATCTTATTCTGGACTCATCAGCTGGATATACCTGAATCTTAGAGTTGATGTTCACTGTTGGACTTGAACCCAGTACCGTTCGCTTCAAACTCCACCGCGTCATCCACTTAGTTACTGAATCCATCTTTGCTTATAATGCTTGTGAATTAAGGAAATATGCACATATAACAATAAGAGACTGATCAATTGCAGTACTTACTTACATACTTACGCCTGTTACTCCTAATGGAGCATAGGCCGCCGACCAGCATTCTCCAACCCACTCTGTCCTCCGCCTTCTTTTCTAGTTCCATCCAATTCTTGTTCATTTCTCTCATGTCTATCTCCATTTCCCGGCGTAATGTGTTCTTTGGTCTTCCTCTTTTCCTTTGGCCTTGAGGATTCCATGTGAGGACTTGTCTTGTGACGCAGTTGGGTGCTTTCCTCAATGTGTGTCCTATCCACTTCCAGCGCTTCTTCCTAATTTCTTCCTCCGCTGGGATCTGGTTTGTTCTCTCCCACAGTACGTTGTTGCTAATAGTGTCCGGCCAACGGATCTGAAGTATTTTGCGTAGACAATTGTTAATAAACACCTGTATTTTCTGGATGATGGCTTTCGTAGTTCTCCAGATTTCTGCCCCATACAGTAGAACTGTCTTGACATTTGTATTGAAAATCCTGACCTTGGTGTTGGTTGACAGTTGCTTTGAGTTCCAGATGTTCTTCAGTTGTAAATACACTGCTCTTGCTTTACCGATCCGCGCTTTCACATCTGCATCAGATCCACCCTGTTCATCAATGATGCTGCCCAAATA